CCATCCCGGCATGGTGCAGGTCCGGGCACCCGGCATATCCCCTTTCCGATTAAGGTTATGGGGGATCTTTTTCCCTGCAGCTTCACGGTGGTCCCAGCTGGCGCAGCCCACCTCCTCCTTCTGCAGACCATCTGGAAGGCTGCGCATCTTTCACCTGTGAAGTTTTGAGCGCCTCCAGTCACTGCCTTGTTGTTCTCTGGTCTCTTTGCATGTCTCTCAGTCTCTCTCTAAAAATTAATATTGATTACGCTTGGGTTAGTTCTTTCTCTTGACACTTTGCTTTGTTTCCAGAGATGAGATTAAACTAATTTCCTATAGCGCAGAGTTCTGTTTAATACAAGAACTGTCACAAGCCCTACCTGTGCGGGAATCAATGTCACTTTTAGCCCTCTGGGGTTTAATGGATTTAGGCCAAACGCTAAGAGGACAGTGTTGGTCTCCATGGAGAGGAGAGGAGAGGAGAGGAGAGGAGAGGAGAGGAGAGGAGAGGAGAGGAGAGGAGAGGAGAGGAGAGGAGAGGAGAGGAGAGGAGAGGAGAGGAGAGGAGAGGAGAGGAGAGGAGAGGAGAGGAGAGGAGAGGAGAGGAGAGGAGAGGAGAGGAGAGGAGAGGAGAGGAGAGGAGAGGAGAGGAGAGGAGAGGAGAGGAGAGGAGAGGAGAGGAGAGGAGAGGTCCTCAGAGGTGCTGGTGATTAGAGCAGCAAAGGGGAAGACGAAAAGTATCTCATCAGCCGAGAAGGAGCACTGAGCCAGCTGTGCTGGAGGCAAGTAGGAGGGATGAGAAAAGCTCACTGTCTGCGCAGCTGGAAAACACCGTTACGGTCTCGGCAAAAGCCATTTGGATGGCAGGGCTGGGGCAGAGGCCATGTTGGAGGAGGCGTAGGGTGGAGCTGGAGGGAAGGAGAACCTTCGGCAGTGACTGCAAAAGGCATCTTCAGTGAGCCTGGAGGCGAGATGGGAAAGCAGCAGTAGCCATAAAAATCATCCAAGGGTAATGGCGTTTTTTTAGAGAGGGGCATTACAAAGATGCACTGCAAAAGAAAAGAGCCAGAGAAGCATAGAGATGAGGCGATAACAAATAAAAAATGTTAAAATCAAATCACTAGAGAAGGAAGACGGGTTGATGGGAGGCAGCACACGAGCAGCCTCCACACGTGTTGTGCAAATGGGGAAGCAGTGGTCGAAATGTGGGAGGGGGAAGTCTCGTTTCTCAGTTTTGTCTGAGAAAGACACTCTGTGCGAAGAGCCACAGAAAAGGTGGGGGAGGACTGGGAAAAGCAGTGAGAAGGTCATGTGGGAAGGACCCGTTCAGGAGGAAGAGCCTTGGCCAGGGACTTCTGCTGTCCAAGAGCCTGAGGTGAGGGCAGGGTGGAGGGGCGACCCCTCACCAAGGGATGGGCCGAAGTTCAGAGTCGAAGAGAGCGATGGGGGGAAAGGGGAAGGGAAGAGGTTACACGTGCTGATGGCCTCAAACCTGTGGGGTGTGAGAAACTTGGAAAACAGAAGGAAAACTCGGCAAAGAGGGAGAAAGAAGCGACATGGTGAGCACCTGGGGAGATTAACTGCGCTTTTGCTAATGGATTAGGATGAAACGAGGACACTGGGGGAATTTCAGCCAGCTTGGGCCACCCGGAGCCCAAGAGCTCTGGTCCTCATCCTGAGCTGCCCCACCAGCGGGGATTGGCAGCCAGGCATCCGCAGGATTTTGTGCTGCCAGACAGAAAACAGGAGATCTCCAGGGGCTGCAGGGTGAGCTGGATCGTGCCTGGGCTCTCAAATACCTTTTAATGTATTAATCGGGTCTTGTTTGCACTCTGGTGCCTTTTCCTCCTTTCGATAAAGCGGTTATCTAAAAACCGGTAGAGCCGGTGTGGTCTTGACTTTTACAAGGTGCCTTGTCGGATGCTAAAATACAACACCAATAATCTCACACAACTGATAAAATAAAAAACCCAAACAAACCAAAAAACACACAAAAAACCCAGCCCTATCTCTGCAGCCAGCATAGTACAGGTTTTAAATTTTCTGGTGATTTTCTTTGTAAACTGCTCAGCAGGGTATTATTCAGGCAGCTGCGTCGAGGGACTAATATAACATGTGTTCTCAATTTTGGACCCGTTATGTTGGGAATTTTCCATTGTGCAATCGCATTAAATCTGAGGCGGCTGACAAGAGCACGATGTTTTCTAACTCTGCACAAGGTTAAATGACTGAAATAAAAATAGATGGAAAAGAAAACAAAGTAAAATAAGTTTGCTTTCTCCTGTAATGGCAGGCAGTAGCGTGAGGTCAGGGACTTCACGACAGCCCAGCCATCAGTCAGGGACCGTGAAACAACTGATCCTTCCTAAATCACTTTGGAAATTATCTTCTGTTTCAGACGCTCGTTCTCTTTCATTCACGCAGATCATATAACCAAGAAGACTGTGTTCAAAGTTATCATTTTTATATAAATTGTGGTAATAATGACTATATTTGTGAAGCGTTTTACTTCAGCGTCAGGGCTGTAGGATGTTATTGGCAGTGTTTTCCTTACTGGGAAATGTAGGATTTGTACTACTGCCTGTAGGAAAACCACACGCTGTGCTGCTGCCACGGGAAGGGGGAAGGCAATCTGCGGAGCGGTAGGGTGGGCTCACGCTCAGGAGAGTCAGTGGATGTACAAATGCGAACGTCAGGCCAAGACGGCAGCCGGAGGTAAAGCTGGAGCTTTGCTCTTCAGCAAGGAGCATCCGTAGGGTGGTGGGGCACGGAGGTTTGCAGCCTCGTGCGCGGCGCGTGGGCCTCTCTCCCGCAGCGCACCAGGAGCCTTCTGGAGGTGGTTTTGGCTCCGTATTCCCATCCAGCAGGGCTTTCCCTTCTGCCCCCGCTTTACATCTCGCGGATTGTGGTTTCAACCCAAATTGCAAAGGCGGCTCTTCTTTTTCTCTCTGCGGCTTAGACGAAATGTCAGACCAGCTTCGGCAGGTACCAGCCCTCTCCTCTCTCGCAGCTTGGCAGCACGCTGCTGCTTGAATGTTTGTTAAGGGAAGTTTCACAAATAAAAGCAAGGGAGGGTGCCGTTCATTGCTATCAATTTTTACTGAAGCAGAGCTTTATGCATTTGCAGAGTTAATAGCTTTTGTTCAGGTAGAGAATGAGGTGACCTCACATGTGAAATCCCAGTTTGTTCTGGTTAAACGACCGGCTGTGCCCCACTACAGTAGTTCGTACCCTCATCACGATTTTGTTGTCTTTGTGTTTTGGATACCGCTATTTTAATTACCGAGTCCTCTGGCGTTAGAGCGGGTCTGTTCACCAGGGTGCTGAGGTTGGACGCGAACGGGACGGGCATCCAGCCGGCCCCGTCCAGCACAGCCGCCTTCACTGCCTTCCCTGCAACCTCGCTGAGCCTTCAGAGGAGGTATTTCTTGAGCAGGCAGCTCGTTTGCTGGGTTCCTCGTGTGATCCTGGTGGACGCGTTCCTCTGCGTGTCCTGTCATTAGGCGAGCCACTAAGTGGTGCAGTGAGCAGGGGGGGTTAGCAACAAACGGGAAACTATATCCATTCAGGTCTGCAGTATGTCAGTCAATTGCAAAAAAAAAAATAATATATATATATGCCTGTCTTGTGAAAAAATTGCTTTAGTTTAGAGCTGTGCAAGACAGACCATTAAGTTAAAAATAAATCTTCAGAACACAGTGCATCTAAACACAAATTGTTTATTACTGGCTATTTTATTTATACCGGTCATGGGATATTCAACTGCTGACATGGGAACAGCAAAACAGAGTTTTTTAATTCTGGGTTTGGACAGTGACGCAACAAGCGGCAGCGTTGAGAATTTAGCTTTAAGACGACAGAACATAGACTTAAACCCCAATGTACCTCCCCGAGAGCAAAACCAGGGGTCAGGATGCCACTGGCAGTAGGCAGTGCCGGAATGCCCCGTTGCCGGCGTTTTCATTGAAACGGTGTCTCTGTCTGGTTAAAACCTGCAAGCAGAGACGCGTTGCTTTGTAACACCGCCGGTGGTGGAGTTTCAGCGGGGGCTTCGTCAGGCGGGCTGACCTCGAGGGCTTCCTCCAGAGCACCCCAGCTGCGGATGCACCACTTTTTATTACTGAGCAATCAGGTATAAATTAACAACAGAGATGAAAACCCAACCATGTGCTTCTGTGGTCTACCTAAAAGGAAAAGAAAGCAGCCATTCAGTTAATTTTATTTACTGTTGAGGGACACCAGCGTACCTTTTGTAACAATTTTAGCAGCACAATGCAATCTAAACTGAGTGCCAGACACGTTCCCTTTTCATGTTTGTTGGTGTGTATCTAAAAACGTACTTGCAGTCTTTCTGTTCTAAAATATGAATAAAATGATGGCGTCTGGTCCAAAGCCTGTGCAAGGAGTGTTTGTAATAGCTGGAGTTGTTATGAAGACAGCTCACACTAGCTGGAAGGGGAAGATAGAGAAAAGGCATGGTCTTCATGGCATTGGCTTTGCTCAACTTTCATTCCACTCCGCATCAATTAAATGAGGAAAATAAAAACTGTAGTGTTCACACTTGAAAACCAGCCAATTTTTCCAGTATTTTCCTTAGCCGACAAATACTATGCCTGTTGAATACAGTGGTCAATGAGTAATTACATTTTCTGTGTATTTAAAGGTTAAAGTAATTAAAAATGTCAACTCTTGCCCTCTTTTCAATTAAAAAAAAAAAAACCAAAAAAACCCCCAAAAACCTGACCTCAGTTCTGGAGGGGACTGTTTTACCCAGTGCAGCAGTTGCAGTTCACAGAAGCCGCGTGCGGGCTCTGGGGCTGATTTGTGCTTTTATTACTTTCCTTGGCCATTAGGAAACGCCGACTCTGAGAGGGAGACTGGAACACACTCCTCCCACTTCAGCCCCTCTCTGCCATTATTAATAGGAAGAACATTTTCCTGCTAATCATTTTTATATACCTACATGTATATACACCCCCCCAGATTTTGTTTTGCTTCCTATTGCCTTCTATTTTTTGCAGGTACAACGTGTTTGATTGCGCTGTTGTCAGATAAAGAACTGACGGTGGCCAACGTTGGCGATTCGCGAGGAGTGTTGTGTGACAAGGATGGGAACGCTATCCCCTTGTCACACGATCACAAGCCCTACCAACTGAAAGAGAGGAAGAGGATTAAGAGAGCTGGTGAGTTGTAACGTTTGTGCTTTGGGTTGAAGGTTCATCTTTTTTTCTTCTCTGTCAATAATATAGACGTGTCCCCTGAGAGAGGCTGGAAAGTACTAGACTGAGGCATCACCAGATAAAATCTTCCATTATTAATACAGCACTTTGCAGTGGGATGTCATGGTGCAGACGGCGAAGTGGAAGCAGATTGACCTATCCCTTAACGAGCCAGCGTCGGAGTAAGAAGAGCAGCCTTCATCTTGAGCAGCCAGTTGACCGTCCCGGCCAGTCTCCCTGTGATCTCTGCAGGGAGCAAATGAATAAAGAGGAGCGGCAGCATTATAGGCTGCTTCACCCCAAACCGTATCAGCAGCCTTTATGTGAGAGGCTGCGTCTGAAGCTGAGGTTTAGTTCCTAAAATAAGCAGAGCGTGAATCTAATTCATCAAAGCTATTTTTTGTTCCCATATAGTGACTGCTAATGAGCACAAACATGTAAATTGTAGCAGGAGTACAGGGAAAGAACATAAGAAACAGAAACCTTTCTGCAATAAATCTTTCTCGCTTTCATCACTTGACAGTTTAGCGACCTCTTGGGCTAGAAGTTACGTTTGGATCATCAAGTGTAATAGCCAATTCTTCACAAATTTGTCAAAGTCTCTTTTGAACCCATTTCTGGTTTGGCTCCCACAGCAGCCTGCGGCAGCAGCAAATTATTTGATGAAGAAAAGAAGTTCCTCTTGTTTGTGTTAAACCCGCCGAAGAGCATTGCCTCCAGAGATGCACTGCCTCTCTGCCTCCACGGCTTCGTCTGTAAAGCAGAAATAACAAGTTTTTCCCTGAGTATAAAAACATTTTTAAAACCTACAGGTTATGAATATGCTGCCACCAGCAGAAGTGCCCGTACATGCGCAATGTGCCCTCGTCGCTCAGTTTGCTTTTATCGACGAGGAGGCGTAAGAGCAGTGGGGATCCTTCCTGCTGCCAGGCAGAGAGCTGAGGTCACGTACGTCCCCCAAAAGGCAAAAAAAAGTATACAGATCTGAAGAAGAAGGAATAGGAAAATCTTGGTCTCACTTTGCTTCAACTCTGTACTTGGGGGATGAATCAATAAAATCTGGAGATTTTTCTGTAAAATTGCTTCCCTCTTAGCCAAGTCCAGGGCCCCTCTGCGATTGCTCACTGCGAGAAGGCCGCCGCTGAGGAGAAAAGAAAAAAAAAAAAAGGGTATTTCTTTTGTGTAGAAGTGAGGCTTTATAACACAGCAATGTGAAAAGTGAACCTGGATTTTTACAGGAATTTCCGGCTTTGGAAGAAATTATTTTAATGGCCAGGTACATGTTATAACTATGTGCAGCTAAACAAGAAATACTCTTATCTAGCCTCGTGACTTAAGGAATTCGCTTCTCTCTTACCTACTGCCCCATTGTATTACCGTGATTGATACGGCCTCATAGTGCTGTTAAAAACATACAGTCCAATTCATACTACTGCCTGATGCTTTTACATTTTGGCACATCCCTTCTTTACCTACAGGAAGTGTAAAATTGAAGCAAAGTGCCCAAACTGAATTATCAAGCCTACGTGGCTACTGTGACAAAAGTACCTGCCTTTTTTCCACCATCTAGATACTCTCCTGCCACGTAGAACTGAAGAAAGCGACGATAACCACATCGTTGTGTTACATTTCAGTTTTCCAGCTTTACATTGCACCGTCAAGCTGCACTGTCCGGTGCCCTACAGGCAGTTATAAAGTGTGACTGCACATTTGGGTTAGTGGATTAGATTTCATTTAAAAGTGAAATCCATATAGCCACGGTTGACAAAATAGCCTTCAAACCTCAGCCTGATATCAATCAATTTGAGGCAGCCCGAAACAGCAGCTCAAAGAAAAGCATGACCTGCCCTGTGCGTCTCAGCGGGGCGTTAACATTGGCATGACAAGTCTAAACTAATCCGTCATTTTTTGCTGTCACGGTGGGCGTTAAGGAGCCTCGCTGCTTGCTGCTGTCAGCGGTCGGTGGATGGGGAATGAATTCAGTCCCTCTCCTTTCCCCACTCCCAGCAACTGTGTACAAAGCCTTAGTCAACCCACAACCTGGAAGAAAATCTCCCATTTATCAGTCGGACGTGACTCGAGCCGCTCTCGCGCTGAAGCCCCCGGAGCCACCGCTCGGGTTTCTCATCGCAGTTCCTGCAGTGCAGCGGGAGGTCACTGGTACCCAAACCTGCAGCCAAGTGCCAAAAGGAAAAAGAGCAGTGGAGAGAACGGGGCAGGGCCCTCCATTTCGAGCCGAGGTGCCGCATCCTGTGGAATTACCTGCTCCGCGGCGTGGCCGGGCAGTTGACAGCAGCAGTCACAGGGCCTGGGGGAAGACTTATTCTCCCGAGAGGATGGCTGATGCGCACTCACGAGTGCTGCGGTGCCACTCGTCTCGCAGCTGAATGAGATCGGGGTCCCACTGCTCCGATCTATCACCGTGGGATACGGGAACGCATGTCCTGTGACACCAGGACCCCGTTTTCCCCAGAAAACACAAGGAATGTCATCAGGAGCTTGAGTGACGTATCAGCGTAGGACAGTGGCCTTGAAACAACAGTGGTTTTGGCTTGTGAAGAAACACTTGGGTGTAGAGCCGCAGGTGACTGTCACTGATAGAAATTTAAGTCGTTCACCTTGAACGTAATCCCCTGAGCTCAGCTCTCACTAACATGCAAAATGTTTGTGCAGTTGCCAAAAAGCTTCTATTTCTTTAATGCCTTTTCTTCTCCAGTGGCAGCCAGCGCTGCAGAATGTTTGCTTTTCCGTGAGCATTTCCATGTGTTCTGTATGGATGGCTTTATAAAAGAAAATATTAGAAGTGCCGACAGACACTTCAGCAAACCACAGGAATTCAGCCGGTGCCATCGGCAGTTCCAGGTGGCACCAAAAAGTCCCTTTGTACGTGTAAGCACAACCTGCAAAGCCTGGAGTAAGCGTGCTCAGCGAGTCGGCAGCATCAGCTGTCTCCTCTGCAAGTACAGTCACGGGCGCAGGCACTGCTGTCCTCTAATTGTGTGTAAAATGTCAACTTAAAACTGCCTCTTCTGAATTGCATTTTGCTTCCCCGGTCATTCCAGTACGTACACATGATTGCACTCCGATTACGATAGTCCTAATCGCTCATGAAAAACCCCAGGGCTGGCGAGTAGGTGGCTGTGTAACATTCAACGGAGGCACCCTCGGAACCTGCAGCAGCAGCCAGAGGAGGTTTGTTTGACAATTTTTCTAAAGCGGAGCTGCAGGAGGCTCCTCAGCCCTTCCTTTTTTTTTTTTGACAATGGAAGGAATCATCTCCAGAATGGAGACTCCCTAGAAGCATTCATGAAAACACCAGCTAAAAAGTTTTCTTTCTGCTGGTTTTATCACAAATCAAGTTTCAAGCTTTAAATGGCAATGAATCATTAAATGAAATGTAGTTTCACCTGAAAGCAGAAGGAGTTTACAGATTAGATCAGCCGACCAGGAATGGAACCGCTGTGGGAAGATTTAGGTGACTGACAAATAACGCACAGGCTGGAGCGCAGAGCTGAAAACGTTCTGGTAACTACAAAGAACAAAGACGTTTGTAAGAACACCAAAGCAGACAGCTTGCAGCTATAAAAGACAACAGTTCACCTAATTTTGTCACGTACACTTAAATGCTCCATGTTTGCAAATTATTTGTCCTCAAGTCACTTTTCATTCACGGTAAGATGACAGGAATATCGCGATGGAGCAGTGCCGACAGTGGCGCGCAGATGCCTGCGCAGGAGTTGAAGGTGCCCGAATTTCACTCTTTGCCCTTGAGCACTGCACTGTTCTCTCCCTGCACGACCAGACCGTGGCACAGCCGGGTGCTGGCTCTATCGGTCACCGACCTCGGTGCAAAACTTATCTCACTATAAGCAACCCCTAAATAAAATAAAATATTTTCAACTAGAAGTAGCCTTAATCTCAGTGACGGTAGAATCAATCAGTCACATCCCACTTTGCATTCTTCTGACTTGAAGTAAAATTTCGTGGTCGGTTTGTTCACAACAGTTTTTTGGTCCTTTTTGACACAGCTCATTCAATGATAAACGAGCCTATAAATGTTTTTTGCACTTGCTTCTTTGCCTTATGCCTTAAAAGTGAGATGTGAGTCCTACTGCAGGGCGTTTTCAGTGTTGTTGCCTTCATAGATCTTCTGAAATGGGGAAAATGCAAACTACACAGAAAAAGGTGGTGTTTACTAACACAGGAACATAGAATCATGGAATGGTTTGGGTTGGAAGGGACCTTGAAGCCCATCCAGTGCCACCCCCTGCCCTGGGCAGGGCCACCTCCCCCCAGCCCAGGTTGCTCCAAGCCCCGTCCAACCTGGCCTTGAACACCTCCAGGGATGGGGCAGCCACAGCTTCTCGGGGCAACCTGCCCCAGGGGCTCACCACCCGCCTAGGGAAAAATTCCTTCCTAATATCTCATCTCAATCTCCCTTCTTCCAGTTTGAAGCCATTCCCCCCTCGTCCTATCAAGATTTGCTTTCAGTATTTTTGTCCTAACTTGCCATACAGCTTTCTGAACAGTAACTTGTGTAGCACAGGGACACCGGTGTTCAATGAGTTGTCGGTCTCTCTGGGGGAGTAGAGAGCGTGAAGCTGCTTCGTTTGAGAGCGGAGCCATTCCCGACTTCTCCGCTTCAGCTGTTTAACAGCACTAGCAGCCGCAGTCCAGCTCTCCCCTGCAGCGCTCTGAGATGTACTTAAGGCATCTCCTGCTTTTTGAGATACATCTGTATACCCCAGGAGACAGCAGGATGAATTTTTGGGTGGGTCTGGCAGGCAGCCAGAGAAATGCTTTAACTTAAAAAAGAACTGCTTTAAGTGTTGGTGTTTCTCTCCAGGTGGTTTTATCAGCTTTAATGGCTCCTGGCGCGTTCAGGGGATCCTGGCCATGTCCCGCTCCTTAGGAGATTACCCTCTGAAGAACCTGAATGTTGTCATTCCTGACCCTGATATTCTTACCTTTGACCTGGACAAACTGCAGCCAGAGTTCATGATCTTGGCATCGGATGGTCTGTGGGATGCTTTCAGCAACGAGGAAGCTGTCCGATTCATCAAGGAACGCTTGGATGAACCACACTTCGGTGCAAAGAGTATAGTTCTACAGTCCTTTTACAGAGGATGTCCTGATAATATAACAGTGATGGTGGTGAAGTTCAGGAATAGCAGCAAAACAGAAGAACAGTAATTGCTGGTGGTTCTCTGCCTCACTCTGAACTTAAACCAAACTCTTAACGTTTTAAACATAGTAGAAAGCTCTAGGAAATACCGTTAAGATTCTACACAAAAGGAACAGATCCCTCTGGTCTTTGTTCTTTGCTTAACAAAAGCAGCAATACAACAAATACATCCTGAGTGATTATAAGAATTAAGTTTGTTCACATGTACGTGTCTCCTGTGACTTTGCTGCTCCTTAGAAACTAACTGTAATCTTCCATTTCAGAATTTTCTTTACATATCCTCTGTAGACTTTTCATTTGATTCCTTACCTCTCATTTCTAATAGTCAAAGGTTCATTCGGGTGCCCAGCGGGGTCGGGGCAGTGCTGCCGCTCAACAGCAAGTGACGGGAGTGACACTGCTTTTCCCTCGTAGCTGTGACTCTTCAGAACGATGCTCTTATGTTTCTCATCTCTTTTCTTTTTCAATCTGCAGTGATACGGTCGTATAGGAAAAGGTTTGCGATTATTGGCCTGTTATCGCTCTGAAGGAGGGAAGAGGAGCCAACTATTAGCCTGCTGCCACAGAACTGGCTCTCTCCCTTTGTTCAACCTCCCCCCCCTCCTTAAATAAATCCCCGCCGAGCATGTGATTAGGTATAATTGCTGAATTACCTGAAGCCACATGTTTATTCCGTCTGTGTATTACTCTGATAACATTTCTCCTATACCATATTGTAATCAAACCAACTCGTGTTAAACTCCAGCAAAATACTCTGAGGTCTGACACCTTCTATATCAAAAAATAGCTCTGTTGTGATAGAAGAAAGTCTATCCTTCACCAAGACTCGCCCTTACGTTAGTTTTTTGGCATGGACTTTTCATAGGCATGTAAAGAAAGCAATGCAAGATAAAATTAATTTTGTTAGTGACTGTTTGGAAAACTAATCAAAATGGGGCATCCTTAGAGCTACCTAGCTGGAAGTCAAGCCTATTAAAGACTTCCTTGTGCCACTGCAGATTAATTTGCGATGTTAATCCAGGGGAAGACCACTTTAGAACCGCTTCTGGTGTAATGTATGAATGCCGGGCAGTGTCATCGCACTGTAGAGATGAAAGCTTGTGTTGAAGCTAGATAAAAATATCTTTAGATCTAACTTTCAGTATTTAATTGTACTTTGGAATCTGTGATTAATGTAAATTGAAACAATGAGCGAGTTTGCTCTCCATCTGGTAACTTAGCTGGCCGCTTCGTGATCGAGAGGCAGCAGTAGCAGAGCGACGGGGCAACGCGTGTTAGAGGGAGAGAGCCAGGGCCCGAGTGGGAGGTTAGGGTTTTGGGTGGCTTGCTTACCCTTGCTGTGTCTTGTCGTGATCCTTGGGATTCCCACTCCACAGAAACGTGGTCCTGGATGATCCGCTCAAGTCTTCGAGGTGATGCAGGTTGTCGGTATTTGGGTCCTGAGGACTATCAGGAGTATAATGCATTAACTTACTTTGTTTCTTGGATAAAGATACAATATTAGTTAAAAAGCCCCCCGATTCTCATCACCCACCTCTGGCATTCTTGAGCAAGTGGCGTGCTGGTCCCTGAAATACTGGGATGTGTTGTGGTTGTGCCGAGCGGGTGCGATGCCTCTCCAGACAAAAATGAAAGAGCACAAATTCTGCTCTTGGCTCCAGAAGGAATTCCCCTCTTTGTCTTTTCATTTTTGTTCCTAGGTTCTCTCTTCCCCAACAAACTTCCCTCCTTTAGTTTGTTTGGAGATAATCACAACTCTTAATTGGATCTGTTGCTGTAACCAGTGCTATTCAAATGGTATATATACCCTTTAGCAGCCCCTTCTCAGCCCCGGCGCTGGGTGGAGCCCCGGGACGCTGAGGGACAGAGCAGTGAAAAGCAGAAGTATGAAGGAGTCCCGCATCCTCTGAAACCAGCAGGCGCCCAGCCTGCGTCGGTCCTTCCCCGGAGGATGGAAGGGCTTTGGACTTTCTAAATCTCTTGAACAGTCCATTCAGTGAATTTTAAATGCAACTTTGCAGTTAAATTGAGCAGCTAACAGGAAACGTTAATAATTGCAGAGTGCTTCAGTTATTTTATTTTGAAAAGCTATTTGAGGTCAGAACGCTGTGAAATGAAAACCCTGTGTGATATTTTCATGGGAGTGCTTAATCATGTACTCATAATGCTGCAGCAGCAGTATCTAAACTGTGCTCCGGGCAGAGCTCACGGTGCGTGCAGCGTTTGCCTTTCCTTTCTCCTTCACAGATGAGGTTCCCGTTGTACTGGCTTTTCTTTGTAGGACACCGCCTGGGTGCTTGTCAAAACAGCTGCCCAGGGAAAAGAAGAATTAGACCCAGCAGCCTACAGAGCTCTAAAGCGGAGGGACGCTTGTATAACAGAGACATCACTACCTAATCCTTCACAGGCATTTGAGAAGTTGGACTGGAATGATGGTCAGCTCCAATAAAAACCATTATAGACTAACGCCCCTTGTGCAGAAAGCTCACGGCTGCCACTGAGCCTCCTGCTGCGCACGTTCTGGAGGTTACTGAGTGTAGCTGAGGGATGCCCGACCTTCTCTTGAGGACAGCTCGCTTGCCGGCTGCCCTGGCACGGGGGATGGACAGGTACATGAGATGGCAGGAACCGTACGCGTTGACAGAGTCGCGAAGCAGCCGTGAGGAGGCAGTGGGAGGGTGGCTCACTCTGCCAGTAAGCCATGCTCACAGGATTTAGGAAAAGACATAGCGCAGTGCAACACAGAACTGTTTTGCAGACTTGGCCGGATATTTAGTCCAGGATTCATTTACTCTGTCTCTCACAGGCCCATCCAGTCCGTTACCGAATCAGCCCTATTTCAACCTCCAAGTGTTTGCAGTTGCAGCAGTAGTTGTTTTAGCATCTTCAGTTTTCTCTGCAAGACTCTCACCTTTCTGGTAGCTCCCTGTCCTGGCCAAAGACATCCGTGCCAGTGTTCTCCGGTAAGGTTGTTGACTTTTGGTTTTATTACTTTAAAAAACTAGTTACAGCTACTTTAGGTTTAAAGATGAAGAACTAATGGAGATGAGAGGCTTTGTGCAGTCTTCCACACACATGCGCAGTGCCCACCTATGCCCCCTTGCCAGGAGTCTCCTCAGACGTTGTTTATCCTGTTTTAGACATCTGTAACTTCCCAGCCATGCTGATTTGTGCCAAATTCTGTCGTGATACATACAGCTGTTGGGTAATAGGATTAAGTAATGTACATATTGCTTATGCAATCTTAACGATCTAGGGGCTGATCCTCCACTGCCTTAATAATATATCCCACCTCTGGACAGAGCTACCAGACACCACAGCCAGAAGTGTCCCCGGGTACGTGCCAGCAGTGTGGCAGAACACACTACAGCACTGGCGAGGCAGTACTTCCAGCACGCCATCCTCGGGGCTGCTTTCCTGCCTGGGCACCTCTCCAAAAAAAAGGGAAGATGCATTTTGGTTGAAGTGGCTTGCGCACATGTGAGAGCTCCCTCTTGCTGGCCGCATTCATGGAAGTTTTTTGTTGCTTCAGCCAGAGTAGCTCCATCGGTGACATCTGTTCACCGAGTAATGATGGTTTCTAATGGCAGAAAACTGATATATTAAGTTGCTGCCAAAGAGCATCTTTTATGTGGTCTAACATGAAAAAAAATGTACCTTGTAATTCATCATCTGATCCAGTACTTTAAAAGAATTTGGGCTCTTCCCAATGGCATTACAGGCTACCAGTTTAACTTGTGTAGTACATTTTAAAGCTACTACCATTTAGCTTTTCATTCGGCTTACAGACTACCCTTTAGTGCATCGCTCCGGTCACACAGTGGCAGGTTTAGGAGGGGCCGTTCGTTGGTCCTCGCCGTGTGCCGCTGCGGGTACAGTTGGATGCCCTGTCCCGGTGGCGGTGGCAGCCTGGTTCGGTGGGGTCACAGCTCCGTCTAGCGGCTGCCCTGCCCCAACCTGGGTTAACAAACGGTGTCCTCAAAGTCAACAGCTGCTCTTCGCCCCTGTGAAAAAAATATGCGTGATTTACAGTCCCCCTTGTGCACAAGTCGGCTGTGCGGTTCACGCAGACCCGTTCTCTCGGGCTGAGTTTTACAGCGGTGCTGGGGCGGTGCGGGCTGAGCACCCGCGTCCCCCGACACAGCAACGCAACGCCGATATTCACCTGCTAAAAAATGTGGGTGAAAATCTGGCACGCCGCAGGCCCTGCCAGCTCAGCCCCTGCGCGGGTGCCTTCCCAACATCAGTGGATCCATTTTAAACGCTTCTTTGCGGGGTGCAAACGTTTGGCAGCAGCGCGGCTTACATAGACAGCAGCCATCAGCTTCGGAGAGTCCCGAATTCAGCGCCGGTCTCAGGGTGGCAGGAGACACTATTTCATGTCGTATAAAATGGACACCGCTTCTTTTGTTGCAACATCCAGCACTATAGTGGTCTGGGCAAACTGATCCTGTCTGACGGGGGAGGGATGGTGACAGACGGCATTGTGAGGACTGCGGCAGCACTGTGGTCCTAAAATGTCTAAAAATACAAAATGTGAAATGAGTGAGCCCGTTTTACTGAACAGACTGCTTAGGTAACTATAAATAAAGTAAATGCCATCTAACGTCATGAAGTATTGTCTACTGACTTGTGAACGCAAGGTCAGTACCAAAACTGCTGCTGATGTTATTACAGTATTATACAAGTCACATAAGGTAAAATTTTAAAAAAAAGAGTTGTGCAGATTTTAGAGCACAGAAGTTAGTACTAAAGCAGTGCATCAGCTTGAAGTAACAGTGTTTCCTACATAAACACTAACGCTGCGTCTTGAAAATAAGGGAGTTCCGTTCTTCAGCTGCCTCACAGAATCTATGCCATCCTTGCTTTAAATAATACATTGCTAATGTCTCTGATGCTTATTTTACAGAGAGAAACATTTAGTAAGCGACTATACTAAAGAAAAAACCCCTCATCAGCCTTTCATTCTCTAAAGTAGGTTTGTAGGACTCCATCCTGCAATCTGGCT